CTGATCTCCTGGCTGTATTGTGGAACCAAACAGAGTAACAGGGAAGAAGAAGAAAAAAAAACCTCTTCCTTTATAAGTCAGAGGACCGGCACAACTTCACCTTTTAAAAGAATTCTGGTAAAGGAGAGCTGCAGTTTGAATGGCAAAAATATAGGAAACGAAAAGGCTGATGCCTTAACATGTTCTCTTCTTGTACTTGGAGAGGATTAGCACGCTTTATTTGACAGCTAATTATATTAGGGCACATATACTAATAGTTATCTTCAGTTGGTGCTAAGTGGCTCATTTCTTGGAGGTATTGCCTGGTGAAATCATATGTATTTACTGAGAATCTCTCTTTAGAAAAGTTCTCTAAGTTTCCAAACACAGAGAATGATGGAAAAAATGGATGTCGCTACTGAGAAGGTGCTAACAGGAGGCAGGCAGCATGTTTTCGCATCTTCACCTCTGCTGTTAATGTATGCAGTGGCTCATCAGAGGTAGCTCATGTTAATTTATTCCTGCACACCTGTACAGGGCTGGAAGTCAGGTAATCAGACAAGCAAAAACTATACATCTCTGCTCTTTAGGTACAGCTACCCAGAGGCCTATAGAGGAACAAACTTACTTCTGGAGACATCAGCAGGTTTTAATAAACCAAATACAGATGTCTTATTCCATACAAATGAAGGAGTTTACATGTTTAAATCTGGACAGATTTAACTAGCAATCAAAGAGAAGGTTCACCCTTGGCACCAATGGTTGCCTCATATTTATTTATAAATCACCCTGACCAAATATTATTTTGTTTTAAAATCTATTCATGGGGCCGAATCGCCTTTCCTACACCTTGAAGATCAACCATATGTGCTGACCCTTCTGATAAAATTCAAGACGAACTGTGGCAATTAGTGGCCACTATTCTCAGAGGAAGAGAGGAACAAAGATGCAGACCATCTAGTTTCTGTGGACGACGTCTTCGTTATAGCTGCCAATGTAAAATCTATTTATGTCTGTTGTAGTGATTGGCATTAAATAGATTTTTATCATATTAGCAAATGATAAGGAATTTGGGGGAAGAGGACAGAAGGGTTTTTATTTTTCTGAATAAAAACCAAATGTAATTTATAAATGGGGTTGATCCATGGCCACTCAGCCCTCCTGGGGATCAAAAAACATGACAGAGGATGAGAAATGACCAAAGGAAGCCAGGCCCAGCCAATTCTATGACACTATCTATCTTCAAGAAAATGTCCTTTATGAAGACTGTAGGTTCTAGGCCAGTTGGAATTTCTTCTTCCCAGGGAGTATTTTCATATGTTTACTTCAAAACCCAGGGTCGGCTTTCCTGTTCCCTGACAGAACAGCATCTTGGCAGAAAAATCAAGGGACGAACAAGAAAGAAGTAAGGGTGTTCAGAGACTGTCAGGTGTAACACCACACACTGTTATCAGTATGCACGTAAATACTTCAGCCATTGCCTTATAGTTCTAGAGTTCTTTACGGGGAAATAATTTACATTTTACTTCCAGAACCTGGAGTAAAAATTACCCTAACAACCACCTAGCGACCAGATGAATTGGAGTCTGGGTATATTAGCTTGCTCTTTGTCATTAGTGTGGAATGGTCCTCTTTGCTTTCTGATTTATTAAACTCACGCTCATTCACAGCTGTATAGAAAAGGACACCTCTGACACTGCGCTTGGACTCCTCAGCCCTCACAAGCCTTGCTTGTGCCCCACTCTCTCTCTCTCTCTCGTCTCCCTTTTTGTGACTTTACACAAAGAATATTCTTGCTTTTCAAAAAGGCTTCAATCGGATCTTATAAAAACCTAGAAAGACCATAAGCGAAGACTTGGAAATCTCTGCTACCTAGCCGTCAAATCTAAAACACAGCATTTAACATCTTTCTACCTCCATCCTACTAACAGCCTATCTGAGACCAAACACGCAACTCCCTCGTGTATAACCATCTTGGAAGAAGTGCAAGAAGACCTGTTTCTCTCTCCTGTAAGGTGTTCTAAGCCCAAAGACAAGAAGGCTGCTTTCGTAGACAGAAGGAAGAGGGTCATTCTGTTAGTTTTATCACAGGCATCCCAGAAACCCGGTAGCCTTGCACACTTCAGCCCCCACTCGGAATGCCTTCTGATGCTTTATTTGCACAAGGAAGATGTTGTGGAGTCCAGGATGGATGAGTCGAGACTCTGGGGAGAGGAGAGAAATGGGCGAGGACACGGCAGGATTAAAGGCAAAGGGGGATTTCTGTTTGGGAAGATATGTTGGCTCAGAGAAAGGTAAGAAAACTTACCCTAGCTTCATAGTGAATTGAAGAGGACAAAAGCAGGGACACGAAATTCCTGGGGTTCTTGTGACTGACACAGTACAAGTGAAGAGAAAGAGGAAGATAATGTGTCTGAGGGGTAGATTCAAGATGTGAGGCAAGAGGCTTTGTGAATAAGGAGATTAAATTACAGGTCGTTATTAGTTGATGAAATGACAATGAAGGGCTGAAACAGGAGTACAATTATAGTGCAGCTGTGTTTCCTGAGGTGCACGAGGAGGGTGGTACCCCAGTGGCATCACTGTTTTTGCTTGTTCAGTGGTAGTTACATTCACATCATATATTAACTCAAGTAATAGACTCAACAAGGATGAACACTCTTCTTAAAAAAAAAAAAAAGTCAAAGTATCAAGAGTTTTTGCTATGTTTTTACCCTGAGGGCAAAAGATTTGCGGATTCTTGAAAAGCAAAATTTCATGTGAGAATCAAGACTTTCTTGTACAGTATTTGTTTTTTCAATTTGCTTTCTATCATGTGTGACAAAACTCCAGAATTAAAAAGATTAGGCATGACGTACTATTTCACCCATATGAAATGTAATCACCTGTCTTCTGAGGTTTGCAATCTCTTCTGTGACTGAACATACATGGGAGAATATCTGTATTATGCTTCTCACCTAGAATATCCTATATCCTCGTTATCCTAGGCACTGGTCTAAACTTCTGTATGGCTGGTCACTCATGAAACTCTCAATCCTTAAAATAAAATTAGAGATTGAAATATTCTTCTGCTATCACTCAATCACTAAATGTTTTTCCTCAGACAAACCACCCTCCCCACAGTACCTCCTTATACATTAGGACATAAAAACACAAGTGCTTGCGTCTTCTAGTGGCTTGACATAAATGAAAGCACCAAGCTTCGGGTGTTGTAGCCTTTGGTCCCAGAGCCATTTATTCCAGTGTCATGACTTGCAGTAGTTTCAGCAAACCAACTAAAACTGTGATAGGAATTCATGCAAATAAGCTTAAATTTTGGCTTGTCTTCAAGCACTCCATTTCCATAAATATTTTATGCAGGTTTTCATGAGTCTTTTATTTTTGTTAAAAAAAAAAAATCCAATGCATTAACCTCATTATCACAAGTGCACTATTTCAAACATAAAAGAATGAATATTGCTCACAAACTTGGGGGGCGGGGGTGGGTATAGTATTATATTTTATTATTCAAAGTCTAGCTATCTTGTCTGCCGTATTCTGGGGCTGTCGATGATAACCTGGAACTGAAAAGAACTCTGTGACCATAAAACGTTTTTTACAGAACAAGGTAAATGGGGGAGGGGGGATTTTTAAGAAGAGAGATTTCTCTTCAAAGCATGTTTTGAGTTGTACAAAGAAAGGCACCTAGTTTTTTCTCAGAGATTTTGCTTTTCATACATTGGGCCGCTTATATTTTAGTACAAAGGAAAATCTATTTTAACGTTCGTTTTTAAAAAGACTGAACTTTTAAAAAAAGCTGAGCATTCTAGCGACAGATCACTACTTTTCAGTGTACTTCTATTATGTTACTTTGTCAGAGACCTCTGCCCAACTGATAAACACTAGAATTTGGGTGCTGGCTCTTTGGAAACCTCCTAATTCATTTTGTTTCTTCTACATATATTGATTTTTACCATGTAAAAAAATTTTCTCCAAAAATATTTTTAAAAGGCACTGGAAAACCAAAAACCACATCCAATATGATGGGATGAACTAACTGTGTGACTCTCGTTGAGCCAGTGTATCATGTAAATGATCTGTTCATAAGCTCATCTCCGCAAGGGTAGGACAACTGTGTTACCCCACCACTGACCACCTTGACACATTCCATTTCTATCACATTTTCTTTAAGATGATTGAAAAAGACCACTGTAGGTTTAGGACCAGCTGCTTCTGTTTAAGCCCAACAGTTTCAGAGCTGCAGCTACATAGCTGAGGTGTGATGTCATCTGAAGGCTGGACATAATATATTCTAACTGATCCTCAAAGTATATGCATGCCTCCCCTTCTGTGCATAATTCCCACGACAGATTATATTTTAGAGATGTGCTCCAAGACATTGTTAAAAAGTTAAAGTAACCCACATCACCATACCACTTCCCCGTATCAACAATTACTTTGGTCCCGTTTTCTTCTGATATTTTTATGACTCTTAAAGAATTCAAGGACATACTAAATACTCATGTAAGAACGATAACATTTCTGGTTATACCTACGGAGATGCAGGCTGTCTCGATGTCCTGGACCTATGGTTCTTTCCATCCGTAAATTTCTGTTTCTATATTGGATAAATATGTGTGTATGAAGATAATATATTGATTTAATGAAAAAGCCACATGGCAAAGCAGAAATATATATCACAGAAGCTGCGGCTTCTAAGTGAAGGTTCACGGGGAAGCAGGGAACTGTGTACATAGTTAACTTATTCACACCTAGATGCATGGAAACACACATACACAGAGCACAGAGAGAAATGGCGTGCATTACTGGGGAAGATGGCATATGACTCTGCATGCTTAGTCACAAGCACCAACTGCAACAATCCTTCACGAGCACGGCAGCTTGGGGGGTCACGTGATCACTGTGGACAATCTTTACAGTGCATCAAAAAACATCTAAGCTGGATTTTTTTTAATGTTTCAAGTCCACCATGACTGGCACCCTCCACCCCCGGCAGGAGCAGCCAATGGAGATTTACTGACCTGTCTCTGCTTCGGCGAGAGGGGAAGGCGGCATTGCAGCCAGCCACCGTGCAGACGTGCATCTCTTTCAAGTGAACGTTCCTGTAGTGAAGCTTCACGCTGTAGGAGCTTTTGAAACTCTTCTTGCACACATAACAGATTTTGGGGTCTGGGCTAGAACACAGATCACCTTCCGGGGAGAACTTTTGAGGGCTGCCGTAATTCAGAGATGATGTAAAACTCTCGTGCAGGGCTGCCATGCTGGCACCCCCGCCGTTGTACAGTCCGTACTGGCTCATGTAAAACATGTCGTAAGTGGGATCTGTAAACTCTTCCTTCACCTTGGTGACGTCCTGGTGAGAGGGCTCACTGTGGTTCTCGTCCGGCCTCTCACTGTTCACCAGGACTTTCTCGCTCACCTCGCCGTGCATGTGCTCATCCCCTTCCATGGATTCCTCACCTAGTTTTGGCTCCGAAGACTCAGACTCGTTCTCGTAGTCCCGCTCAGGTTCTTGGTCCTCGGAAGTCATGCTGTCGGCCCTTCGTATTTCAGTCCTTGAAATGCACCGGGTCCTGCTATGCTTAGAAAAGTCCTTCACAGACATGCCTGGACTCATTTCCTCCTGCGAGTGGCAGTGACTGTCATGGCTGCCATCGTTGACCACAGCTCCGCCATCATTGGGGTCGTCGTCTTCATCGTCAAACTCATCGGCAGTGTCAATAATTTCCTTCTCGATCTTCACAGGCATGCTGGACTTCCTGGGCTTCTTCTTGGGCGCCAGATCGGCACTGGGCTCATGAGTGGCCATCATCACTACTGGCGCTGCTGGCTCAGAGGGTAATGGGGGGAGCTGCTCTATGGTACCACTGGTTGGAATGATGGGACTGGTCGGGAGGGAGGTTGGAGGACTCACCATTTCCCCCGGAGTGAGTAAACTTCTATAAAACGGAGGAACTGGTTGGACAGTCTTTAGCCCAGAAAACACCAGCTGGCTAGGGAGAGGGTTCTGTAAGACGGGGTCTAGTGGGGGAGTGGTAAAACCCATTGGGGGCCGGCCAGGGCTTGTGAGTGTGAGATTTGATTTTGTACTTGCTATGACGGGGGTGGCAGCCCCTGATGTGGCCCGAATTAAATCTTTGTCTCGGTTATTCCTTAGCATAGGCATGTGAAGGCGAGGGTTAGGGTTCGCACTATGACGGTTACGGCTTCGGAGGGAGCTAAAGACCATGTTGCAACCTTCGATGGTGCACCGATGTTTGATCTTCAGGTGAACAGCGTTATAATGGATTTTGAGAGTACCTTTGTCATAGAACGTCTTCCCACACGCGTTACAGAACACTCTTCCTTTCCGAGACGCTGACCCCATCCTTCTCATCCGGTGGATCCGGAATGAGCTTTTTGGGTGTTCGGTTTTGGACAGATCACTGACCGGGGCGGAATTCTGAATGGGGGACACGCAGGCTGGCTCAGTTTTGGGCTCCACGTTAGTAATGCTGGTCAGGGCGTTTCTATTGGGCGTCTGGTCGTTCTTGTAGGGTGTGGGAGACACTTCAGATTCACTGCTCTCGTTATATTCATTCTGGGTCGAAAGGCTGGGTTCCCGCAGCCTCAGTCCTGGTTGCTCTAACAGCAACCCATTCGGAGGCAATCCTAGCAGCGGGGCTGAGACCGGGTTGATGTACTGGAATGGCAGCAGGAAGGCGAGGCTGTTGGGGATGTTTTCAAAGTGATGAATGCTGGAAGGGTTGCTGTTCTCTAGATGGGCAAGGAGGCTGGGACTCCTGGTGCGATTATTACTCTCAATGAAAGTTCTGATGTCTGAGTCTGTCTTTGAAGACGGTACAGCTACGGCCTGCCCCTCTTTCTCCTGAATGGCCATCAGCTCCACAATGGATTTGGTTTCTCCGAACCGCAGAAACTGCTGAAGGGTGATGATTTCCTCTTCTCGAGACATGATGGCCCAGCGGTCCAGCACCTTGCCGGCAGCATCCTGGAGGCCACATCAAAGAAATGACAAAGACAAACACAAAAACTTATTGACTGTGCATGACTATTCAGTGCAACCGAAGGTGCTCTGTCTGCTCATGGAACACCGAGAGCAGAAAACAACATGCAAGCACGGTTAATACAAGTCGATCCACAAAGCATACTTCTCTGCCATGCCAATGTAGTCATTAGAGTCACAGTTAGAGAAACACTGAGTTGAATAATGTCAAAGCAAACAAAACGTAGACCACCGGGGCTCTGTGATCTAAAATGCCTACACTACTGCTACTTTAACAACAACGGCCTATATAGACTATGCAAGTATTTAGCATATATTAGTACAAGATGTGAACTCTTGCTGTGCAACCCAGTGTACGCCAAAAAAAAAAAAAAAAAAAAAAGGTACCTTAATCCTTATCAAACAGTCGCACCACAGGAAGGAATTGAGTACATTTTTCACATTTTATTTCTCGAGCACAGCACTGGGTTCACTGATGTAAATTCCTTTAAATAGGAGCTATTATGTGAATTTCTGAATCAAAAGGATGAACAAAGTAGCATTACCCCCCATACCCCCATTGCTATGCTGTATTTCCCCCCCTTTTTAATGGCTATATTTTCGTGTCATTTACCAGTAGCCTATTTCATAAGGTAGAGTAAGGAGAAACGGTAATTGCACTTTTCTGAAAATTGATTGTAATCCTATGATTCAAAGTTTGAGTTAGACTTAGCGTATCTGACTTTTTATCATCTTGTTATAAATGACAGCTATACATATCTAGAAAGTAAACATGTGATGGATTTAGAGAGAATAAATGTGTAAAAATGTTGTCTCTCAACATTCTCCTCTGATAGCAGAGGGAGTCCACAGAGAATACACATCAGTAATCACCAGACTATGTGTTGTTAAATATACATTAAAAAGCATTTCACACTTTCATTTTTTGCTAGTAACTATGAGATACGCCTGGAGGTCGGACTTAAAAATCCTGCAGTATAATGTCAGGCAATCCATTTCGGTGTGGAGTGAGAAAAATCTGTTCAAACACTTAAATAATGACTCCGTCATCTTCTATAGGGCACAGCTTCTTCCCACCAGTACAGGATACTCGGCAACCCTCTGTGAACAGCACTTGCTCCAACCCTTGACTGTCACTTTACAGAAGCATAAAATCGTCTCAAACAACAAGGCAAGAGCCTTATTAATTACAAAGAGGAAAATCATAACATTATAATGGAGAAACCTAGCAGACACCACCCTAACCAAGTTGTCCAAGAAACATTACCCGGTGATAAGGAACATCACGGACCTTGTGTGAGATAGATACATATGTGTATACATCTATACTGAGAAGGGCACACTGCTGCTTCCGTGGCACGCTTGCCCAAAAATTTATACCTCAATCTAATTATGAGAAAACATCAGATAAACCAAAACTAAAAGGCATCCTGCAAAACGGTCGCAAGTATTCGTCAACGTGTAAATGTCGGGAAAGATTTTTAAAAACTCAAAGATCTAAGATTGGTTACGGATTGGAGGAGACTAAGAAGACAGGACAAATAAATGTGAGATTCTAGGGATCCTAGACCAGAAAAAGAACACTAGTGGGAAAACTGGTAAATTTGCAATAAAGTCTCTAGATTAGTTAACAGCATGGTATCCATCCTAATTTCTTGGTTTCAACAACCGTACTATGCTCATGTAAGATGCTACGTTAGGGGAAACAGGATAAAGGGAACGGTACTATTTTTGCAATGGAGAATTCTCTCTCGTAGACCGTTCCACTCAGCCTTGCAACATGAAATTCTCTCTGGACCACAATCGTATGGTCTGAATCATGACACCTAAAATTTGATAAAAAGGCAATACTTGTCATTTATTTAAATTACTTAAAAAAGAAGCTCCAATAGTTACATGGTATTCCTTATAAGGCTCATTGCTAGCATTCTATCATTTTATATGTGTGTGGGTGTCCAGTCCTACATAAAGTCAAATACAGATGTCCCTCCCTCATCTTGTAGGAGAAATTAGCCTTCAGATCAAACACCCTCAGACAGCTGTCTGTTCACATTAGTCGTACAAATGATGTGTATACACGGTGACCCTGGATGATCCTGGAGTCGGGCAGTAGCCATTTTTTTAAAAGTTATCGCTCACAGCAACGGGTCTCCCTTCCATTCTTTTTTGGGGCAGGGAAGTAAAGGAGAGTGTTGGTGTTGTAAATAAGCAGAGAAATACATTGTGATTTTGCAGAGATTATCTCATTTGAGCGTTATAATAGCTTCCAGAGCTCAGCAAATGTGTAACAGATGAGACACCGGAGGTGAGATGGCTTGAGAAGGTTGCGAAGATGCTAACTGGGGTCCAGGACTTGAACCCAGAAATTCTGACTCCAAGCTCGCTGAGGTAAGTGACTGTCATCCATGAGGCCATTTTGCAGGTGGGCACACTGAGTCTGTGATGACAAGGAGCAGGGCCTCTCCTGAACGAGGCTGGTCTCCAGAGCGCTGTAATGTCCTCTTCTACACTATTTGTCTTTTAACCATCAAATCCATTTTCTTGATTGTTCTTTTATGGAGGCTTTCACTATGGAAACCCAATCCGAGCAAGGTACAGCCATTTCTTCCTCAGGTTCTTCCCAGGTAGCCTGCAACTAAACCTGCGTATCGATAATGTACTTACAGAGCTGGCAGCCTCCGGCATTAAAACAGGCCCTAGAAACCATAGCAACTGATTAAACCCACCTGAGGCATCTCCTTCCAGTCACCCTCCTGTCTTCCCTCCCCTAACGGTACACAGCAGCAGTCCCATATGGTTTCTCTTTTCTCCTGGCCTGCCACAATGCCTGCTATTTCTAAATCTACTGCCTTTCAGACTCTTTTTTAGGCCTGAGTGGCTGTCTCCACTAAAAAGGAGACTGTTATGTTAAAGCACTTACTTCTGGTGGAAGAGGTCCAGGCTACTTTGCTGGTAGCCTGAATGATAAAAGAGAAGCTTCATTTATCGTGGTAACAGAAGCATCCATTTATATTTACACAGAAGGACAACACAGTCTCTTTGTAAACAAATGTGCTTGGGGACGGGACAAATATCTACACTGCATACTCCCAACTGGAGTCCTCCTGACAGGGTAACCTCTGGATCCAGGCAATGTGAAGTGCCACCAAAGTTCTTTCCAAAGAAGCCATCATTCATCAAGATGATCTAAGACCATCACGTTCACAAATAGAGAAACTGCAGCAAGCAAGAAAGTTGACTTTCTCATGCAACAGAATGGGTCTGAAAGCTCAACGCTAGAAATGAACGTCACTTTTAGCATATCCTCGGATTAAACTGGTTGAAGGGAGTTAGAAATCATCAAAGGGAAAAAAGAGAGGCCAAGGTTCTTTTTTCCTGAAGATCTCTGTGACAGAAGTAAGCACGATGTGGTGCAGTGATTCTCAAACAGTGGCTTAAGACTCCTCTGTTAAGACAAGACTTTCCACGAGTGGTCCACATGCTCTTCAAAAAGGGCTAGTCTGAGGGCTATTATTTTCCTAAAACCAGTCTGCAGGTAATTGAGAGCAACCATTTGGAAACCTTCGGGACAATGGGACACTGCTGTAACAACTAAAGGCACGATCACTTCTTTTCAAAGTAATTTTATTTTATTTTATTGAACTTAAGTGTTGGCTTAAGACTGATTGGGGGGGGAAACTGGTCCTTCCTCACAGATAGCTTGAGAGGTAGAGATCTATAATCTAGGCCCCCTTATCATGTCAAATACACTTTACCAGAGTAATTAAGAGCCATAAAAAGAATTAGGTATTATCACAGAATAAATATTAATAAAACAGAAATGCAGTCTGTTAGGCCACTAGGAACATCCTGACTACTGACCAACTCACACTGGGATGCTGGTCTCGTGCATGAATGATAAATCACATCAGAGTGCGTAACTAGATTCTTGTCCTTCCCATTCGATTTTGTAGTTGGTGAGTCAGTTACTTTTAGGCTTCCCCATTTGTAACCAGCGTTCAGTGACCTTGAACCCTCTGCATTGGGGATTATTATTTATGAAATGAGGATCATAAGATTCACCCTGTTAAGTGAAATGCAAGGTATTAGGATAAGTATTGATTTCCTATGACAATAACTGGCTATCCTATTAATTAAAAGATGAGTAACACCAAATAATCCAGACTTATAAACCAGTTTTACTGAGTTCAGAAGAAGTACACAACACTTAAAATATTTACATCTAAGCGTTTTAAATGAAAAGACTTCCTTTTATTATTCACTGGACTGGTGATTATATCACTCAGTAGAAATCTGGCACCCAGTTCTACATGGCTCCAGAGTGATTTTCTAAAATCTTTCTTGCAGTAGGATCAATGATCATGGTTTCAGTGGTTTTATTTGAGCCCTTTCTTCATATCAAAGCACCTTATAGGATGCATAGTTTTAAAACCAGAGTCAAATAAGACTGTTTGGTTTTTCTTATTTGAGGGAAAGGGAGAGTAGAGAAGGAAAGATGTAAAGAGACTGAAGAGAGACCAGATAAGAGGCTTTGGGATCATTAGACTGTCAGGTGACCTCAAGCCCAGAGAATCCCCAGCCCAAGAAGGAACCCATCTGTGTTCACAGCAGGCCACTGGCATGCCAGAGCACGGAGGGAAACACTGCCTTTCTTTCCATGCGTGGAAATGAGAGAGGAACACTGAACGTAGCAGAGATCTAGGGCTTCTTTGCTCTAGCAGTATTCTGATTATTAAGAAATCAGCCAATAGTTTAAGTCTCAAAGACAGGTGCAGAATAGTTTAGTTTTCTACTCTATTTAATGAACTTCTTGTCAGTCAAATTTAAGGCACAATTTAAAGAAAAAATCCAAAAACGATTAGCTAAAAACTAAAAACGTTTCCCCTTTGATCTAATTTTAAAGCTTTTAATGAAATGTGGACCACCTAAAACAAAATCAGAGGTTTATGAGATGTAGTTTTTGATTTCACGCCTACATTTGCAGT